GGCTTTGAAAGTCTACTGAGCCTCCTGCAGCATCGAAGCAGTTTCTCTTATCTCTGAAAAATTGAGTCTCCCCTTGCTTGAATCTCCTATAATGACACACATCAAAGGGGATACTAACTTCCTTGATATCAATCTCTTGTATACCTTAATTGCCATGAGACCCAAAAATGGAGTTTATTTCAAAGGAAAAGTAGAAATTCTGACCTTAGAAAAGGTAATATACACACTGAAATACACCAAGGAATTTCAAAGAGTTCTTAGCAAATGTCTTCTAAGATAACTGTACTTAACGACAAAATGTAAAGTATTTCGAGCAAAATAATGAAAGTGAACAGGTAACTAAAAAGCAAAGGAAAGAGGTCAGGTGGTAGCACAATTGTACTGCAATTAGATCCACATGGCAAGGGCCTGGGCTCATGTGCTAGGACTTCCCTGCACACACCAGGCACATGAGCAAATACCCAGGACCCAGGCTGACTGACACTGGCAGTACACTGCAGTGTAAAGAAACTGGTGTGGTCCTTTTGTCTCTGTCTCCTTTTATCTCTCTGTCTCTCATTGTAATGGAAGGAATAAATACATATTTAAAAGTATATATTTAAGTGCTTTCCCAATACAGGCAAAATAAAACTTATAAGTTTTATTAACTTATTTCTTACCATTAATAAATCTCTTTAACAAGGTTGATCTGCTCTGACTAAAGTTGTAGAGGTTTATACACTAACGGCCATGTAAGTAATCTCAATATTCAGATACTGAGGATTCAAGAACTGGAAAACCGTTGTCCCAAATTAAAGATATCAAATTCAAAGTGTCTAACTAGACAACTGCATTAAGTCAGTCCTAGATTCAGAGACTATGAAAGATGGAAAGACAGAATGCCATCCAATGCTGGCATTTTATCACTGAAAGAGCAGAACCTGAGAGGTTTAGTGATTGGTAGAAAATCTACCATTAATAAGAGATACAAATAAAAATAATTTCCCCCACTTATTTCATTGTCTCACACTTCTCAAAGTAACGATTACTTTTGCAAATGGGTTATGAAAAATATTAGATACTTAGAACTTGCAAAAATATAAAAACTTCTACATTTTAAAGATGTAATACTGATAAGAGGCATCTATAATCCAACAACTCAAGAGTTCAAGAGTGATTCTTTCCAAGCTTCACTTTCAATTAAAACTGAAGCTAACTTATTAGTATCAAAGTGGTATCAAAGACCACTTTTTATGTATGTATATACTATCTATTCTTTTAAATTTTGAAATAAATTATTTAAAATGATTATGCAAGACTGAAGCCATTTAAGTATTAGACAAAATTCAACAAATAAGGGGAATTAGACAAAAATGTATCATGAACACCAAACCAAGCAATGTTGTGATTATTCCATATGAAATGATTTCTATACTTTCTAATAGTGAATCCAATGGTTTGTAAGATTATTAGAAACAAAACTTTCTACAAAAGTCTGTAGAATCTCCTCAAACTCAATACTATATTTTTTAGTTAAAATTTAAAACATATATTATGATGCAATTTATTCTAAGTGGCAAATGTAGTTGTTTCTATACTCAGATATTTTGTAATTTAAATAGAAACAAGAAAGCTACTTCCTCTGTGTATAGACATACAAATATATAGAGGTGTACATATACAGAGACCTCTAAAAGTTTGTGAAAACAAATGGAATTCAAGAATGAGTTTATTTTTGGTGCAAAAAAAATTAAACCCATGCATATTTCTTTTCGTAATACCCATGTTCCATGAGCTTTTTGAAGTCTCCCTTCATATTTATATGTATTTGTAAAATATCTGCCTTGTTCCAAAGGGAGTGTAAGATATGTCTTAAGAATACACAAAATTGCAAGAGAACACAAATTTTAAGTGGATAATAAATCAAGAAGAAACTGCCATTATAGCATTGTTCTTATGTAGAACATGAGGACTATATTTGAACCCCCTCCCCATCAAAAGTTTAAAAAAAGAAAAGAAAGGATAAGAAAAAGAAGTAAGGAGAGAGAAAGAAATAAAAAGAGAGAAAAGGAAAAGGAAGAGAAAGAGAACAGAAGGGAGAGATGGAATACACACACACACACACACACACACACACACACACACACATATATATATGTATATAGCACACGATTTGCAATTTCAGATCATTTATACCTGTAGATCTAGCCCTGGGTCAGTTTGTAAATAATAAACTTCCATTTGTCAACATAGAAATAGCCGTGGTTAATGTAAAAACAATTAATAGATTTTCCAGCAGAAGTAAGTGCTGACAGCCAAGATTAGCTCTTTCAACAACTTGTAAAGCAAGACTCCCTAGAGCCTTGCAGATGGGAAGCATATTAATATCAACTGTGTGACCACTCAGCACCATGACATGAAGTGTCTGTTCAGGAGGTCATCTGCAAAATGTATCCCATACATCTTCATGCGCAGGAGATGATAATTTATCACTTAGACATAGGGATCTACTGTAAACTAATCCAAACTGCTGATGATACACTAAATCAGTTTGAGTGATGAGTATAAATAAAGCTGCAAGCAAAGTACTGAAGGATACAGATCTATCTGATCAATGAGATGTCACAAGGCAAATGAAATGCAATGTTGACAAACAGAGTTCCTCAGTTGAAAATTAACCGAGTCAGTATCAGAGTATAAAGATACACATTAACACAGGATTCGAGTGAAGTTTAATATAATAGAAGTCAGAGGGTATAGTCTGTTTCAGATAAAACAGAAAAGACTTGGTCAATTCTGTAGAGTTCAGTACAAAAGGATGTATTCAAAATTGATATTTTTTGCATAACATAGAAAGTACGACAGAATGAAGAAAAATGTTACAAAACAAGGGACCAGCAATTTGGCGTAATGGTTATGTTGCTGGACTCCCATGTAGTTGACCACGGTTCGAGTCCTGAATCCAGTGACTTAAAACTCACACCGGGCGCATGTGCGTGCGTGCCCAAGATCCCAAGAGGATAATGGAGGAGAAGGGATTGTGGCGGGGCCAAACCCCCCCCCCCGGGGGGTGATTTCTCGATTTCTGTCTCTCTGTCCCTCTCTGTCTATCTGACGAGGCACACGCTTTATAGCAAAACAAAAACGAACAAACAAACAAAAACAACAACAACAAAAAAGAACCTCTCCAAAAAAAGAAAGAAAAAGGTTACAAAATAATAATCCTTTCCAAATAATATAACTTTTACTTACTCAATCTGCCAAGCAAATCCATACACACAGATGAAGGAAAACAATAAAAATTGTACTCGGAAAACGATTTTGCAACTATTTTCTACCAAGAAATCAAATTCAATTTATGTTGCCCTTATGAACATCTAGATATTTTCCGAAACGATCATGCTACAGTTTCAAGGGGGAAAAACAAAGAGTAGGGATAAGTAAGGACATTCCCCCAGATAGTTGATATTCATGGAGGTCACTCTTTGAGAAAAAAAGATTTTCCCAACTATGTGATCAGAATGGAACCTTTATCATGCGGCAAATCGTTTCAATAGATTTGGCTTTTCTGAAGGTGCCCCTAATGGAAGGAGCTGATTAAAGTAAATTTCAACCTCTGCTGGAATAAATCTGTAAAAGTATTTTCTAAGGGAAATTATTCGTCCCAAAATGTATATATATGTTTTCTTTGTTACATTAAGTATAGGTAGTTTGTCATAATATATTTAACTCTTGCTTTGTATTTCATCTTTGAGTTTATTTTGGGTAAAGATAGAATCATACTACTAAAATATGACCTGATCCCAGATGTAGTTTATTTAAATTTTAAAATGAAAAGCTTACTAAGAACAGATAAGATTGATTGCTCTCTCTGTCTTAGCATAATTGTATTTCAGGTGAACATCAATTTACTTTAAAGGACACTTCTAAGTAGCAGAATGCATCATAAATAATTCATCAATCACAGCTACTAGAAACATGATTTACTTCAGTAGATTCAATGGAATAAAATTTGTTTTTTCTATACTTATGTCTGCTTTAAAGAGTTTAATAATCTTCCTTTTTAACATCAATTTTATTTTATTTATTACCATTATTTTTTAATTTCTTATAGGGTACATATGCTCACCAGACAGACACACAGAGAGAGAGAGAGAGAGAGAGTTAAAAAACACTCCACTCAAAACCACCACCACCACCACCACAGTTGTCAAGACTTTGAGCAGGCAAGCGCACATGCCTAGCATATTTTTTTCAAGCTGCCAGATCAAGGACTTGAACTGCATGGAGTTGTCCATGTGGGATCCAACTGCTTTAACTACTATGCCATCTGGCTGACCCAAAACTCTTCCTTTTCAAAGAATCCAGTCTTTGGTTCCACACTTCATACTCCAGATGTACTATGATAAAACTTTGTCTCCCTTGCAAACTAAGGAATAAAATTCTTATTGTAGATGGTTTGGACAAGCTTGCCCAGCCGACATTTAATCTTGCAAGACTGCCATTAAAGTCTCACTTCTCCAGGAAAAAGGAAAAAAACAGTATATTCTAATTGAAATAAAAACTTTTAAATATCTTTGGAACAAACTATATACCAATAGTAAAACAACACAAAAGGTACGTATCTTAAAATTAACCATAAGATTTTCTTAAAAACATAAATCTAGTAAGGCTAGCATAATTTGTTTTCTCATTATGTAAACTTTTAAATGGAAAAATGGAAGGCAGTTTTTATGAAAATCTTATATAGATTATTTAGGATCTGATACATTTGAAAATCAATGCAATTTAGAAATGTATATTAAACATTTTCTAAACTATAACAGTTCAAGTTTTGTCAGTTAATTCAGTCTACCACTTTCATTTGTCATACAGAAAGACATTGCTTAACTTACACATTTTAGAGTTTTTCATCAAATTCAGCAATTCTGTATTAGTAATTTTCCAAGCTGTGAAATATTTTAAAAATAAATACATTGACAAGGAAACATGTAGGAGAAAATACAAAGCATTTTACTTACTTGCAAACCCCTCTGAAAAACTGAATGGCCCATAAAATTAGCCAGCATTCTAATTAAAGCAGCACCCTGTAGAAAAGGTAGTTAAAAAAGAAAAGAAAAAAAAAAATAATTTCAACCAAGGATCATGATTCTAAAATTGTCCAAAATCATTTAAAATTGGTCTGCTTCATTCATGGTAGTCTATTTTTAAAAACAATTAAGAAACAAGAGAATCATGAAAACAATATTCCATTACAAATGACAATTACATTAATTTTTGCTTTGTGCACCTAAAAGCTCTGGGAATGCAAAATTATGACTGCAGAGTGGTAGTCCCCTGGACACAATATCAAAGGGCAATAATAATTCAGTGTTAATCAACATTTTACCAAGAATTATATATTACAAAATTAATATAAATGGTTCTCATACTTGTAAACTTACATATTCTAGTAAAGGTAAAGATACTCATGTTAATATGTCATCATATTAAAATATAGCTTTGGAGTAACAGAGACACTTAGCACACCCCTACTCAACCAAAAATAGGTCAGTTGTAGCCGTGGGAAGTAGAGAATACCAAGCACTCGGATTGCTTGGGTTCAAGCCTTGGCCCTGCTACTTACTATGTTTACTCATGAAAAATTAACTTCTCTATTTCACACTTTTCTGTCCTGTGAAAAGTGGGTAATAATAGTCTTATTTAATGTAGTTGTTCTGGAGCTTAAATTAATTAATACATGTAAAGTAGTTTGAACCAGGTCTGAAAAACAGTAAGGATTTCACGAAGCTTAGCTATCGATATTATTTCAAGATGTTAATTTTTATTTTTACCTCCTATGTATTTATTTTAAAAGCTGGATTTAGACATATTCACACTCAAGTAAAACATATGTGATCAATATAAATATTTGTGGCTATAGGAGAAAACAATTTAAATGGGTCTATATCACCTTGAGAAGCATTATTACAATATTGTAGAACAATGTCAGGATGAAAGATGAGCCTGTCATCCATGTGAAACATTCCTAGTAATGATGGTTAAGTGATCACAAATCTGTATTAATAATACAGGTACTCATTAAGGAGATACCTCAATTCACACCAAACTGTTTCAACTATGAAGCAGTAGCTTATAAGTAGCAAATATCTAAATATAAATGATAACCCGGTTGTGGGGAGGAGGATTCCTTTATGATTACATATTCCACTTCAGACACACTACAAATCCGTGTGCTCCAAGAATTCAGTTCTTATGATGTGTCTCTTTTCAAAAAGCAAATCCTGAGAGTCATGCATACATTCTGCCCAGGCTGGTATTGGACTACTGCAGTCAGTTTAGAAACATAAGAATGAATTTCCATAGTTTGTTACTAAAATTATTTGCTATAACTCTGGGACTTGAATAAGAATACTATTCAGGCTCCATGAATTATCAGGAACTGCGTGTCTCAACAAAATTTCAATAGCCACCAAAACTGCTCCCCAAATCTCATCTCAACAAATGAAGACCTGGAAACTATCATAATTTTATGCCTCTTCTGATATTTTCCTCCATCCCTTCTACCGTTTGCTCTTTCTTTTGTTTCATTCTCTTTATCTTCTGCACATTTGTGTAAGTCCAAAACTCATAAGCATTTATGTCTCAATCTGGGGAGCAGGTTAGAATTCCCTCTAGAACCTATCAGCTCTGCACCTTGAATTTCCTAGACCAGCTCTTCTCCTATACATTCCCCAATCCAATTCACTCACCATAGGGTGGAAACTCAGTTTTTCAGCAAAACTAACCCTTGTCACTTGGGGAGAAAGACTCAGAATCTCAAGCAGTCAACTCAAACTTTCCTTCAGAACAGAATAACCATCTTCAGATCA